CACCACGTCGCATGCACCAAGTCACATGCAGCAAGTCGCATGCACCAAGTCGCATGCACCACGTCACACGCACCAAGTCACACGCACCAAGTCGCATGCACCAAGTCGCATGCACCAAGTCACATGCACCAAGTCACATGCACCACGTCGCATGCACCAAGTCGCATCCACCAAGTCGCATGCACCAAGTCGCACGCACCAAGTCGCATGCACCACGTCGCATGCACCAAGTCACATGCACCACGTCGCATGCCCCAAGTCACATGCACCAAGTCGCATGCACGAAGTCGCATGCACCAAGTCGCATGCACCAAGTCGCATGCACCAAGTTGCATGCACCAATTCGCATGCACCAAGTCACATGCACCAAGTCGCATGCCCCAAGTCACATGCACCACGTCACATGCACCAAGTCGCATGCACCAAGTCACATGCACCACGTCGCATGCACCAAGTCACATGCACCAAGTCACATGCACCAAGTCGCATGCACCAAGTCACATGCACCACGTCGCATGCACCAAGTCGCATGCACCAAGTCGCACGCACCAAGTCGCATGCACCAAGTCGCATGCACGAAGTCACATGCACCAAGTAAAACGCACCAACGCGCATGCACCATGTCGCATGCACCAAAGTCTCATGCACCAAGTCACATGCACCACGTCGCATGCACCAAGTCACATGCAGCAAGTCGCATGCACCAAGTCGCATGCACCAAGTCGCATGCACCACGTCACACGCACCAAGTCACACGCACCAAGTCGCATGCACCAAGTCGCATGCACCAAGTCACATGCACCAAGTCACATGCACCACGTCGCATGCACCAAGTCGCATGCACCAAGTCGCATGCACCAAGTCGCACGCACCAAGTCGCATGCACCACGTCGCATGCACCACGTCACACGCACCAAGTCACACGCACCAAGTCGCATGCACCAAGTCGCATGCACCAAGTCAAATGCACCAAGTCATATGCACCACGTCGCATGCACCAAGTCGCATGCACCAAGTCGCATGCACCAAGTCGCACGCACCAAGTCGCATGCACCACGTCGCATGCACCAAGTCACATGCACCACGTCGCATGCCCCAAGTCACACGCACCAAGTCGCATGCACCAAGTCGCATGCACCAAGTCACACGCACCAAGTCGCATGCACCAAGTTGCATGCACCAAGTCGCATGCACCAAGTCGCATGCACCAAGTCACACGCACCAAGTCGCATGCACCAAGTTGCATGCACCACGTCGCATGCACCAAGTCACATGCACCAAGTCACATGCACCAAGTCGCATGCACCAAGTCGCATGCACCAAGTCACATGCACCAAGTCGCATGCACCAAGTCGCATGCACCAAGTTGCATGCACCAAGTCGCATGCACCAAGTCGCACGCACCAAGTCGCATGCACCACGTCGCATGCACCAAGTCACATGCACCACGTCGCATGCACCAAGTCACATGCACCAAGTCACATGCACCACGTCGCATGCACCAAGTCGCATGCACCAAGTCGCATGCACCAAGTCGCATGCACCAAGTCGCACGCACCAAGTCGCATGCACCACGTCGCATGCACCACGTCACACGCACCAAGTCACACGCACCAAGTCGCATGCACCAAGTCGCATGCACCAAGTCACATGCACCAAGTCATATGCACCACGTCGCATGCACCAAGTCGCATGCACCAAGTCGCATGCACCAAGTCGCACGCACCAAGTCGCATGCACCACGTCGCATGCACCAAGTCACATGCACCACGTCGCATGCCCCAAGTCACATGCACCAAGTCGCATGCACCAAGTCGCATGCACCAAGTCACACGCACCAAGTCGCATGCACCAAGTTGCATGCACCAATTCGCATGCACCAAGTCACATGCACCAAGTCGCATGCCCCAAGTCACACGCACCACGTCACATGCACCAAGTCGCATGCACCAAGTCACATGCACCACGTCGCATGCACCAAGTCACATGCACCAAGTCACATGCACCAAGTCGCATGCACCAAGTCGCATGCACCAAGTCACATGCACCAAGTCGCATGCACCAAGTCGCATGCACCAAGTTGCATGCACCAAGTCGCATGCACCAAGTCGCACGCACCAAGTCGCATGCACCACGTCGCATGCACCAAGTCACATGCACCACGTCGCATGCACCAAGTCGCATGCACCAAGTCGCACGCACCAAGTCGCATGCACCAAGTCGCATGCACGAAGTCACACGCACCAAGTAAAACGCACCAACGCGCATGCACCATGTCGCATGCACCAAAGTCTCATGCACCAAGTCACATGCACCACGTCGCATGCACCAAGTCACATGCAGCAAGTCGCATGCACCAAGTCGCATGCACCACGTCACACGCACCAAGTCACACGCACCAAGTCGCATGCACCAAGTCGCATGCACCAAGTCACATGCACCAAGTCACATGCACCACGTCGCATGCACCAAGTCGCATCCACCAAGTCGCATGCACCAAGTCGCACGCACCAAGTCGCATGCACCACGTCGCATGCACCAAGTCACATGCACCACGTCGCATGCCCCAAGTCACATGCACCAAGTCGCATGCACCAAGTCGCATGCACCAAGTCGCATGCACCAAGTCGCATGCACCAAGTTGCATGCACCAATTCGCATGCACCAAGTCACATGCACCACGTCGCATGCACCAAGTCACATGCACCACGTCGCATGCCCCAAGTCACATGCACCAAGTCGCATGCACCAAGTCGCATGCACCAAGTCGCATGCACCAAGTCGCATGCACCAAGTTGCATGCACCAATTCGCATGCACCAAGTCACATGCACCACGTCGCATGCACCAAGTCACATGCACCACGTCGCATGCCCCAAGTCACATGCACCAAGTCGCATGCACCAAGTCGCATGCACCAAGTCACACGCACCAAGTCGCATGCACCAAGTTGCATGCACCAATTCGCATGCACCAAGTCACATGCACCAAGTCGCATGCCCCAAGTCACACGCACCACGTCACATGCACCAAGTCGCATGCACCAAGTCACATGCACCACGTCGCATGCACCAAGTCACATGCACCAAGTCACATGCACCAAGTCGCATGCACCAAGTCGCATGCACCAAGTCACATGCACCAAGTCGCATGCACCAAGTCGCATGCACCAAGTTGCATGCACCAAGTCGCATGCACCAAGTCGCACGCACCAAGTCGCATGCACCACGTCGCATGCACCAAGTCACATGCACCACGTCGCATGCACCAAGTCGCATGCACCAAGTCGCACGCACCAAGTCGCATGCACCAAGTCGCATGCACGAAGTCACACGCACCAAGTAAAACGCACCAACGCGCATGCACCATGTCGCATGCACCAAAGTCTCATGCACCAAGTCACATGCACCACGTCGCATGCACCAAGTCACATGCAGCAAGTCGCATGCACCAAGTCGCATGCACCACGTCACACGCACCAAGTCACACGCACCAAGTCGCATGCACCAAGTCGCATGCACCAAGTCACATGCACCAAGTCACATGCACCACGTCGCATGCACCAAGTCGCATCCACCAAGTCGCATGCACCAAGTCGCACGCACCAAGTCGCATGCACCACGTCGCATGCACCAAGTCACATGCACCACGTCGCATGCCCCAAGTCACATGCACCAAGTCGCATGCACCAAGTCGCATGCACCAAGTCGCATGCACCAAGTCGCATGCACCAAGTTGCATGCACCAATTCGCATGCACCAAGTCACATGCACCAAGTCGCATGCCCCAAGTCACATGCACCACGTCACATGCACCAAGTCGCATGCACCAAGTCACATGCACCACGTCGCATGCACCAAGTCACATGCACCAAGTCACATGCACCAAGTCGCATGCACCAAGTCGCATGCACCAAGTCACATGCACCAAGTCGCATGCACCAAGTCGCATGCACCAAGTCGCATGCACCAAGTCGCATGCACCAAGTCGCACGCACCAAGTCGCATGCACCACGTCGCATGCACCAAGTCACATGCACCACGTCGCATGCCCCAAGTCACATGCACCAAGTCCCATGCACAAAGTCACATGCACCAAGTCACATGCACCAAGTCGCATGCACCAAGTCGCATGCACCAAGTCGCATGCACCAAGTCACATGCACCAAGTCGCATGCACCAAGTCGCATGCACCAAGTCAAATGCACCAAGTCGCATGCACCAAGTCGCACGCACCAAGTCGCATGCACCACGTCCCATGCACCAAGTCACATGCACCACGTCGCATGCACCAAGTCACATGCACCACGTCGCATGCACCAATTTGCATGCACCTAGTCGCATGCATCAAGTCACATGCACCAAGTCACATGCACCAAGTCGCATGCACCAAGTCGCATGCACCAAGTCGCACGCACCAAGTCGCATGCACCAAGTCAGATGCACCAAGTGGCATGCACCAAGTCACATGCACCACATCTCATGAACCAAGTCACATGCACCACGTCGCATGCACCAAGTCACATGCACAACGTCGCATGCACCAAGTCACATGCACCACGTCGCATGCACCAAGTCACATGCACCAAGTCGCATGCACCAAGTCGCATGCATGCACCAAGTCGCATGCACCAACTCACATGCACCAAGTCGCATGCACCAAGTCGCATGCATGCACCAAGTCGCATGCACCAACTCACATGCACCAAGTCACATGCACCACGTCGCATGCACCAAGTCACATGCACCAAGTCGCATGCACCAGGTCGCATGCACCAAGTCGCATGTATGCACCAAGTCGCATGCCCCAGGCCCATGCACCGTGCGTACACCATGCATACTCCATGCATTATGCCTCGATTGCCACTCACCGTGCGTTCATAGGCATGCACATGCCCTCACACCACCACATCCGTCCTGGCGGCATACAGCATCTGCTCAGAGGTATCCGCATGTACAAGTGCATGCCCAGACTGTCCACTTGTGATCTTCTGCCACTCACCGTCCTCTCATAGGCGTGCACATGGCCGCACACCACCAAATCAGTCTTAGCGGCATACAGGATCAGCTCCAGCTCCATCCGCATGTCGTCCCCGCTGCCCTGGTGATCCTTGTTGCTGTGGTACCACGGCTCGTGGAATGCGGCTATCAGCCAGGGGGTGACCGTGCGGTTGACCTTGGCTAGATCGGCCTGCAGGTGGGGTAGAGTGGGGGAAGTGAGCAAGCACGTGGCTTGTGCGTGGCTGTGGGGCGCATGGAATGGAGCAACTGAACATGGGGGGGGGGGTTGTGGTGCGCTTCACCTTGGCTGGCCTGCATTAGAGGGTTGGCACTGGGACTGGGACAAAGGAGATGTGTGCTTGTCGCCATGCTGATTGCTGCGCTGCGGCACCACTTCTTGAGGAATGCAGCTGAACCATGGGGTGATGGTGTTGTAAAATATATATCTATACAACATGCATGCCTAGATTAGGAGGTGTAGTCATTATAATTATTGGGGGGTTGTTGGTTGGGTTGACCAACCCCACATTTGGGTTGGTCAAGATTGGATTTGGTCCTAGACATTTGGTTGGCACTATTCCAACCAAATGGTTCTTGGTCCTAGGAACCAACCAATCACCAAGCACCACACTTTGTGGTTGCTTGCCTTCCAAGCAATCTCTCTCATTGGTCCACATTGTGGCCAATCGGAGAGCACAACACTTTGTGGTTGCTTGCCCTACAAGCAACCTCTCCCATTGGTCCACTTTATGGCCAATAGGAGAGCTTCCCTTCCAACTCTTCCTTGCTCCTTGTTTTGTACAAAAGAGCCTCTTGGCTCCCTACTCAATTCAATCTTTTCTCTTCCAAGCTAGTTCCTTCATGGTATTCAGAGCCACAATGGCTCACACCACCTCTAGTCGATCCTAACTAGCACGGCTCTATGCCGTCCCTCCTCGTCTTCGAAGCCTAGCCCTTCCTTAGGCTACTTCCCGCGCCCCCCGTGCGCCCTCTCCCGCCGCGCTATTCCGTCGCGCCCGCTCTTCCTCCCGTCGCGCGCCTTTTGCCGCGCCTGCTCACCCTTCCGTCGTGCGCCTCCCGTCGCTCCTTACGACGCGCTTCAGCCCGTCGCATCCTCCTACTGCGCCCGTTGGTGCGCTCCTCCGTCGCGCAGTCCGTCGTCGCGCCCTCTCCGTCGCGCTTTCCGCGCGCCCGTCCGTCACGGCTCCCGCGCACGCCCGTCGACAAATCCTCCCGTCGCGCCCGTACTCTCCGCGCCCGTCACCTTTGTGCCGCCGCGCGCGCACGGCCGTCGGTCGATTTCTCCGCCGCGTGCGCCCGCTCGTCGTCGATTCCGCAGTCGCGTGCTCCTGTTCGTCGCGCCATTTCGGCGTGCAGCCGGTCGCCGCATCCTCCTTGGAGCGCGTCGCGCGCCTTCGGCGACTTAAGAGCTGCGCTCCGCGCATCTATCCTTCTCCTCCCCCCCCTTCTCCTCCTCCTTTCCTTTTCCTCCTCCTTTCCTTTTCCTCCTCCTTTCCTTTTCCTCCTCCTTTTCCTTTTCCTCCTCCCCCCCTTCCTTCCCCTCCTCCTCCTCAATGGCATCCGATTCCTCGGTGGACCTTACCTCCGTCGACGCTCTTGAGCTGCTGCCCGACAACACCGCGGTCAATTGGCATTCCTATGCCCAAACCGTCACGGTGCTTCTCGCCTCGGTGACGGTGAACGGCTACAACCTGAAAGCCGTTGTCCATCTCGAGGAGCGCGGTCTTCAGCCAGCCCAGCCGGATGCTCCCGCGGGCCCTGCACCTCCTCCTCCTGGCGATGCTCCCGTCAGCCCCGGCGATCCTCCAACCTTCGCCCCTGACGTCAACGACCCTCAGAGCTCCGAGACCGCCATCCGCACCTACCGTGCCGGCCTCGCCGACCACGTCCGCCAGCAGCTGCTCTTCGAGGCTTCTCGCGCCGAGCATGACGCCGCCACTGCCGCCTACAACACGTATCAGGCGGAGCTCACGGAGTACGTCAGGCGCGAGCGCACATACATCACCGACCTCGCTGCCTGGCGTGTCGCTGGCCGGCGCGCGCTCACCATCCTCCTCGCCACCATTCCTCCCACCCTCAAGCGCAAGCTTGCTCCCACCTCCTCCTCCCACTTTTGGCGCCTCCTCACCGATCTCTATGATCGGCAGGACGTCGCCACCCTCTACTCCCTCATCAAGGAGTTCCAGAGCCTCACCATGGATTCTACCACCGGCGCAGCTGCCTTCACGCGTCGCGTCCTCGACCTCGCTCGGCGCCTGGCGGCTCTTGGCGTGCCGTACCCGGACCCAGTGCTCTGCTGCCACCTCCTTGAAGGCTTGACTCCTGCCTTCGACACCCATAAGATCGCCTACATGCAGCTGATCGACAAGTGCATCACCCCGGCTGAAGTCACCCAGTGGATTATCACCACCGAGGCCTACCTCTTGCGCCATTCCTCCTCAACTGCCGCTATTGCTCAGCAGCGCAACACCAGGGGAGGGCGTGGGGGTGGGCGTGGCGCTGGTCGTGGTGGTGGTGCGGGTCGTGGTGGTAATGGCGCAGGACGTGGTGCAGCAGCCGCCTTTCCTCCTTGTCAGTATCTCCCTCGCTATGGCCCCACGCGGGGCCAGCGCTGCGGCCATACCACTCATGCCACTGATTCTTGCTTCAAAGCGCTCAGTGATGAGTGGTTTGCCCGCGGCAACATCGGCACCCCCCCCCGCTGGTCCTCCCTCTCCCCTCGCCCCACTCCTCAAGAGGTTCGTACCTCCCCTCTTTTCCAGCCCGTCTCCTCCCCCTTGGCCCACCAGGCCGTCCCTCAGCAACAGCAGCAGCAGCAGACTCCGCAGCAGATCCTGCCGCTGCTGTTTCAGCAGCAGAAGCAGCAGCAGCAGCAGGGGCAGCAGCACCTCTTCTCCCAGTTGCAGAAGCAGCTCCAGCAGCAGCTTGACCTCCAGTCGCAGCTCCCCCTTGCACCTCCTCCTATGGCTCCCCCCCAGCAGCCCTACCCCGCTTGGACCGCCGGCACCGCCGCTTCCGCAGCTCACCTCTCGGGCGCGTCTCCCGCGCCCTCAGCCTCAGGCAGTGTGACTCCTTTCCCCTCCTCTGGTTTTGTTGGCATGGTTAGTCAGGCTGGAACCCCCGCCCCTTCTATGTAAACGGCATCTATTAATGAGAATGTGATTCAGTACTCCGTCCCACCTCCTCCCCCACATCCTCCCCCCTCCACCACGCTGGACTTTGTCCTTGACAGTGGAGCCACCGAGTCCGTCCTTCGTGATGCCGGTACCCTTCACCCTCTCCCAGCCCCCACCTCCCTCCTTGGTGCAGATTCCAGCTTCTCTATTCCCTTTCGCCACACCTCTACCCTCCCATGTCCCCTCTTCCCCTCAGGTACCGTTACTGGTTTACACATCCCCTCCCTCCATACTAACCTCCTCTCCCAGCGATCCTTGTAGCAGGCCGTTATCACCACCGTCTTCCCAGGTCGCCCTAATCACTGCCTCCTATACCATCCCACAGGTCGCCTCCTCTCCCGTATTCCCTTTTGTCCTCGCTCCCGCCTGTATACCCTTTGATTTCCTCGTCTTCCCTCTGCCCAGGCAGTCTCCCGCTCCCTCCCCCCACCTCACATCCCTCCCCCTCCTCTCCCTCCTTCTAACCCAACCATTCCCCCCCTCCCCCCAGACCCAACCTGCTCCTGTCGATCCCTCTCCCATCCCACCGTCCTCCTCCACCACAAGCTTGGTCACCCCAACTTTGCCACCCTCCGCTCGACCGTCTCCTCAGGTCTCCTTCGAGGTCTTCCCCTCACCCTCCCTCCCCTCCCTCCCTCCCTTGCCCCTCCCTGCTCCGTCTGTGTCCAGAGCAAGCTCAAACAGCTACCGCATCGGAGTTCCCCCTCCGCTGCTGCTCAACCGCTTGATCTTGTTCACATGGACCTCTGGGGCCCCAACCCCTCCCCTTCCCGCCAGGGCCATCGCTACATGCTTGTTCTGGTCGATGATCACAGCCGATATTCGTCCGTCTCCCTTCTTCGCTCGAAGGGTGACGTTCCGGCTGCAATCATCGCCTGGCTCAAGCAGGCGAGCACCCACTTTGGCCGCCCTGTGCGCCGCCTTCACTCTGATGGCGGTGGCGAAATCCTTAATCGTCAGGTAGCCTCCTACTGTGAGCTTCATGGCATTCGCCAGACTCACACCCTCCCCCACTCCCCCAAGCAGAATGGTGTGGCCGAGAGCCGTGTTCGGGAGATCACCAAGATTGCTCGGTGTCTCCTCGTCCATGCCTCTTGCCCCCCTTCTCTGTGGGGCTATGCCCTCCTTCACGCCACCCTCCTTACTAACCTGTACCCCCACCCTATCCTTCCCTCCACCACTCCCACCGAGCTCTGGACGTCGGCCAAGCCTGACGTCTCCTCCCTCCTTGTGTGGGGCTCCAGGGCGTATGTCCTCATTCACCCTGCGGACCGCCCCCGCACCATGGGAAAGCTCGCCTCCCGTACCCTCCCCTGCATCTTCCTTGGTCATAATCCCTCCTCCCCGGACTACCTCTTCCTTCACCCCCCCTCAGGTCGTTTCCTCCGCAGTCGGGATGTAGTCTTTGATGAGTCCACACCCTACTATTCCACTCCTCCCCCCACTGACCCTCTCGCCCCTACTCCCAGGCCCCTCAACTGGTCCGACACTATCCCACCCCCTCTTCTCCCTCCCCCTCCCATCCTCCCCCCCGCTCCACCTCCTCCATTCCCCGCCGCCTCGATCCCTAGCGCTCCCCCCTCCTCTGGTGACATATTTGACCCTAACCCTTTTTTTCCCCCCGCCTCCCCGTCCCACTCCTCCCCCTCCGCTCCCTCCCATCCTCCCCCCTCCCCTCCTCCCCCCTCTCCCCCGCGACCCCCTCCCCCCTGCGTCCCACCCGCTCCATCCTCACCCGGTATCCCCACACCAGGTCACGTGACGCAGTCCTAGGTGCCCCGCCTCCTGTTATCCTCTCCTCCTCTACCTTGCTTCCTCTCTCCCCTCTCATGGACCTCCTTTTTCAGACAGTCTTACAACAAAACACTAGCCCAACCCTGCCGTCGAGCTCCAATACAGCAGTCCCAACAGCAGCGGCAACAGCTGCAGCAGCAGTTCCACCCACCGCAGCAGCACCAGCAGCAGCAGCCGTCGCTCCTTCCTCGCCTTCACC